GGCCGGGCCGGAGGGAGGAGAGGGGGGGGGGGTTCCGTGGCCTGAGCAATGGCGCGGCCGGCCTGCCACGCGGCCCGGTCAGCAGGCTGGTGCATGTGCTGCCCAGGGAAGGCCGCTGGCACGAGCTGCCACTAGCATCCTCTCCCTGCCTGGCAGGGCACTCGCGAGCCACAGGAATTCTAGCAGTCGCCTGCCTCTCCCCACTCACCCACCAGCTCTCTGGGGTGTACCCACAGCTTTGGCCTGGCACCAGCAGCTCCTCTCCAGATCCACGCCCCTCTCGCGCCCAACCAGACCGTGGAGATCTCCCTGCCTCTCAACACGGTTGGCTCAGTCATGAAGATGGAGCCTCTCAACAACCTGCAGGTGAGGCGCCCGTGGCCTTTGCGCTCACGTGGCCCAGCCTGAGTAGCACCGTGGGGATGGGAGGGGAGGGATGCCAAATGTGGCAGCGGCTTGAGGGACTCCCCTCATCCAGAAGAGGCTGCGTTGGGGGAGCGGATGCCGGGACGTGGGGAGAGTTGGTATTTCCTGCGTGTGGAACTCGGCTGCAGCCGGTCTCTCTGCTTCCGGGAGCCTTCTCTGCACATGGCCCGGCCAGATGCAACTGATCCCGTGCCCCCAGCTTCGCAGAGTGCCAGCACTTCGGGAGGAGGCGCTGCACCTGCGTGGGAAGGGGCCTGTAGGAGTGTGGGTTTGGCAGGGGCCCTGCTCTTCGGGTAATAACACTGGCCAGGCTCGGCCACCCTCAGCTGATCTGTGCCCAGGAGCCGAACGGCTCCGATTAGCGCTCGAGCGCTCCTGGGGCCTGGCTCCATGCTGGCTGCCCTGGACCCTTCCCTCTCCTCCAAGCCAGCCGTGCGTGGGTGGGGGCACCTGAGGGAAAGCTAACGCCCACTGCCCCTTGGCACCAGGTCGCCGTGAAGAACAACATCGACGTGTTCTACTTCAGCACCTTGTACCCGCTGCACATCCTCTTCGTGGAAGACGGGAAGATGGGTGAGCGGGGGGCTTTGCCTCGCACGTGGGGAAGGCGCGGGCGCCGACCGGCTCCGATTAGCGCTCGAGCGCTCCTGGGGCCTGGCTCCATGCTGGCTGCCCTGGACCCTTGCCTCGCCTCCAAGCCAGCCGTGCGTGGGTGGGGGCACCTGAGGGAAAGCTAACGCCCACTGCCCCTTGGCACCAGGTCGCCGTGAAGAACAACATCGACGTGTTCTACTTCAGCACCTTGTACCCGCTGCACATCCTCTTCGTGGAAGACGGGAAGATGGGTGAGCGGGGGGCTTTGCCTCGCACGTGGGGAAGGCGGAACCAGGCTGCTGCAGTGCTGGGCGGGAGGAGCGGGGGAGAACTCCTGCGCAGGCAGCTGAAGTGCAGTCCCTCCACTGGCCCCCCATGCTGCTTGCTGTCCAGAGGGAATCCTTGCGGCGAGGGGCTATCACTGGACCGATTCAGGGGCCGCTCTGGAGCTGGGCAGCATTAACCATCCACATCGCCGTTTCCAGCCCTGTCGCTCCCGACTCTTGGCCTCGGGGGAAGAGAATCGGGATGTCCCGACAGTCAGCCTAGAGCAGGGGCTGCCGTGCCCTCTTGCCAAGCCGCTTGTCCTTGCTGCTTTCCGCAGCAGGGCTGGGGAAGGACTGAGGACGGTAACCCGCTTCCCTGTGAGTCCCTCCTAGGAGTCGGCTACAGTGCACCTTTTGCCAGGCATGTGTGTAGAGCCTCCACACGTGCACACGCCTGTCTGCACGAGGCACTACAACCATGCTGACGAATACGGCAAGATTGGAGCAGCCTCGTATAAATTCAGCCAGAATCCAGTGCAGTTCTGCTAATCGAGCCTTGATTGTACATGTCTTCTAAAAAAATGCTTCCAGCAGGGCTGGCCTAAACTCTGGCAGCTCATGAAGGCCACTTGGTGCTGAATGAGCACCCGCCCGGGGCTTAACAGCTTAGCTGATGCCCTTTCAGTTCCCACCTGCAGTTAATCCAGATGAATTTTCCTAGCACTGCCGTGGACAAGCCCGCAGGGACCCATTTCTCCAGGTTGTGGAAAGCAGGGGCCCTTCTTTGAGGGCAGTGGGCAGATGTGTGTCTGCAGGGGAGGTAGCCAATCCCGCGGGTTTCATGGCCCAGACTTGCTTCTGTCTCCAGAGCGGCAGATGTTCCTGGCCACCTGGAAGGATATTCCGAATGAGAACGAAGCCCAGTTCCAGATCAAAGAGTGTCCTCTCAGTGCAGGTGAGCGCTTTGGGAACCGGGCCCGAGCTGGCAAAGGCAGCCCAGCCCCCTCTCCGTCCCTGTGAGCAGAGGGGGCTGCGCTGGGTTGAAGTCGGGAGGAAGCGGCTGCTTTGTGACGCACCCAGGCTCTGTCGCATGCCGAGCGGTTCCTGGCCATAAGTCCCTCCCTCCTGCCTGGTATGGTTCTCGGTCAGCACCCCAGTGCCCATCGCATGTTCCGTAGGGTCTGAGTCAGAGACTCCAGCTGTGCAGTCCCCGTTCCTTGCCCCGTGCCGCTACCGGGCTGGGCTGGGATTCCCGGCTTGGGTCAGTGTCCGTTTCCCACACAACCCAGCAGAGTCAGAGGGTGAAAATCCAATGCGGACAGGTCCCTTGGTCTCTGAGGGCGGCTCCGCACCGTGGTGGAGAGGTGTGTCCCGCACAAGCACCTACAGAGTAAGAGGGAATGAATTTTATTCTGCGCATGGCACATCAGAGCAGCCACCTCGTTCGCAGGAGTCTGCTCAGGAAGTGCTGGGGAGTGCAGGACTGCCAGAGAATCGCCTGTGGATGTCATCACGCTGGGGCTGGCTGGGACCGGGTACTTGCCGACGAGTCGCTGCGGGGCAGGCTGCTTACAAACAGAAGGAGCAGAGCAGCCTGTTTGGCAGCTCAGTCCCATGTGCTCAGGGCAGCAGCCCCCTAAATGTGGGTCTGGGAGAGACACAAACTGCCCGCCACGTCCTGCTCTGGGGTCTCAAAGCCCCTTTAAGCAAGGGGGGCTCACTGCACAGTGACAGCCGCCCAGCCGTGTCTGCAGCACTCCCGACTCAGCTGCCTCTGTCTGTCCGCACAGATGCTGTTAGCAGCAAGCTTCAAGGCAGCAACATCTTCACGGTAGCCAAGCGCAACGTGGAGGGCCAAGACATGCTGTACCAGTCTCTCAAGCTGACCAATGGGATCTGGGTCCTGGCGGAGCTGCGAATCCAGCCCGGCAGCCCCGGCTTAATGGTAAGACAGCTCCTCCCAGAGGCTAGTGCCAGGGTCGCCAGCGCTGAGCTCCGTGTTCTCTTGGCCTCCCAGCCCCGTGTTGGCGCCGATTCACGTGGTGCTCGTCCCCGTCGGCCAGGGTTCTCGCCTGAGGCCTTCTGCAGCTCTCCAGCCTGTTGGCCCACGGGGCATCCCTGGGTGCCTTGGGCTGCCAGCAGTCCCTGGGCTCCTCGGCTTGGGAATCCCAATTGGGGCAAACTTCCGGCATTGGCCCAGGCCGCCGGCTCCAGGGCTCAGTGTGAGAACAGCTGGGGCTGTCCCGGGCTCTCTGGGAACGCTGGGTGCGCTGCGTAATGGTGATGGAGCATTGGCACTTCCTGGTTAGCAGGGGGCTAACCGCGCTCTGGGAATGGCCCTGACCCCGCTGGCAGGAAAAGGGCTTTGGGCCCAGAGGAGTGGAGTAAGCTGCAGGCTCGGTTCCCTTTCTGACTTCTGGCTCTCAATCTGTCCCTGGGGCTGCTGGCTGGGCTGCTCTTGGGGCATGCGAGTCAAGTAACATGCTGATTTAAATAGACTCAGAGCCCTTCCAAGAGTCCCTTCAGCATGTGTCCTGTGGGGCCTGGCGGGACACCTGAGTGCTCGGTGCCCCAGCTGGCGCTGGCTGCGGAGGTCCCTGGGCAGTCCCCCTTGGGCCTGGATTCACCTCTGTGGGGTTGCTGCATGTCTGCCTGCCCTGACGTTGCAGGACTTGGAGGTTAGCAGTCTCGATTTTGGGTTCCTCTGTCTGGCTGCAATCAGCTGCGTTCGGCATTTCACCCCGGTCTCACCTCCCCCGTCCAACTCATCTCGTTTCTTTACCTGCTGCTGCCGCCCCCAGCTCGGGACCCCGAGTCGCATGGGGACAGGGGCCACTGCTGCATGGCAGAGCCAACCACAGACGGAGGCAGGGAAGTGCGAACCACAGCTCGGAGGACAGTGCTCCTGGGGATGGCCAGCACAGCCTAGCCCAGCGGTCAGGAGCGACTAGCCGTTTTGGAGGCTCGAGTTGCCTGGCCTCGTACAGGCCAAGCGTCCACCCTCTGAACCAAAGAGGCTAAAGCGACTGGGACTTTTCAGTTTAGAAAAGAGGAGACCGAGGGGGGATATGATAGAGGTCTGTAAAATCATGAGTGGTGTGGAGAGGGCCGATAAAGAAAAGTTATTTATTAGTTCCCTAAACAGAAGAACTAGAGGACACCAAATGAAATTAATGGGGAGCAGGTTTAAAACTAATAAATGAAAGTTCTTCTTCACACAGCGCGTAGTCAGCCTGTGGAACTCCTTGCCAGAGGAGACTGTGAAGGCTAGGACTAGAACAGGGTTTAAAGAGAAGCTAGATAATTTCATGGAGGTTAGGTCCATAAAAGGCTTTTAGCCAGGGGATAAAATGGTGTTCCTGGCCTCTGTTTGTCAGAGGCTGGAGAGGGATGGCAGGAGACAAATCGCTTGATCATTGTCTTTGGTCCACCCCTTCTGGGGCACCGGGTGCTGGCCACTGTGGGCAGACAGGATACTGGGCTAGATGGACCTTGGTCTGACCCAGTACGGCTGTTCTCATGTTCTCCTGCACGGCGGTGCCCAAGTGGGCCTGGGGACTGGTGGGCTGGAGTCCTTCATTCCTCTTCCCTTCGAGTTGTGGGAACCAGCTGAGCTCCAGCCAGGGAGAACCGGGAGCATTGTGACCTCGCTGCCTGGAAAGTCGCTGCAGGGAGATAGTTGTGGGTAAGGACGAGGCCTCTTCAGGCTCCTGCTGGCAAACTGCATGTGGGCAGCCACCGTCCCAGGCCCCCACCGGGCGGAGGCGGGGCCGGCACATGAGGGGCTCGTCTGTAGCCCTCCATGGCATGCGTGCAGCTTGCGAGGGCTCCGCTCTCAGCGTGCCGTGGCGCGGGGACAGATGGGCCCAGGTCAGCAAGCCGGTGCCATTAAATGTGGGGACCCTTGTCTCCGGTTACAGCAGCAAGGGCAGGCGCTGCCTGGGCCCCCAGGCCCAGTTGAGTGGCAGGGTGTCGGAGGCTTGGCTGTACCGCACACCAGTGGCACCGAAAGCTTCCGTTGACAGTCACTCTGCTGGTCAGAGGGGGGCGGACCCACATTCAGCCTGCCAGGCCCGTGCCGCTGTTCCCTTGTGCAGGACGACATTGTGGAGGGGATGAGAGACATCGCTTCTGTGCTGGTGCACGAGCGCAGTGTTTAGCGGGGCCCCTGCCCTCACAGCCTCGGCTCCCCAGTGTCTCCAGGGGCATGGCCAGGGGTGTCCCAGGATGTGGGGCAGGCTGGCTGGAGGGCTGGGCCATGCCTGGCTGTTAGGGGAGGCACAGCCTTTCTGACCCCCCTTCCCCGGTGGCCATCAGGCCAGTCTGCCCCACCCTGAACCCCGGCCTTTAGCCTGTCTCTCTGCCTATCCACAGCCTTTTGCTAGAGGCTGTGCCCTGGCGCATCCGGCGGGTGCCTCTCGGATGGCGCTCCCTGAGGTCCGCTGGATTCTCTCCCTCTCTCCTGCAGCTCTCTGTGAAGTGCCGTGCGCCCGAGGTCTCCCCATACGTGTACCAAGCCTACGAGACCATTGTGAAGAACTGAGGCCCACAGCTGCTCCCCTCTCCTGTGCCCCGCTGAGGGAACGGCTCCGTTTGCAAGCTCAAGACCCCTGGAGACCACTGGCTCCCTGCTGCTGTGCGTGACGTGAATGGCCATCCTGTGCCGGGTTGGGGGAGGAGGGGGAGGTCAAGCTGTGAGTCAGTGCCTCTGTGTAGAATTTTGTCCTGTAAAGTCATGCAGTGTCCTCTTGGCTGCCGCTGTCCTTTCAGAGCTCAGTGCCCACTGTCTCGTCACTCCCTGCAGCCCCTCCGTGCAAAGTCAGTGACGTGCCCCGGTGCTTAGGTGGGCTTGTGCTGCCTGGCGTCCCTTGCCTTGAACGCATGTGCTGGCTGGTGCAGAAGTCCTCGCTAGTAACCCCTCTGCCGACGGGCTAGCCCTGCTGGAGCACCCTATGCATGGGGCTCTGTCTCCCGTCGGCCTGGGACAGCCAGGCGCCCCCGTGGGGCTGCTCTGAGCCACCCTTCCTGGGTGGAGGGGCTGGCGACTAGGGATTCCTGCGGAAGCTTGGCCCAAGTCTCAGCCCGGGGGATGAAGCAGGAGTTAAAATGATTTCGGGCTCTTGGCTGCTGTAGGCTGGGTGGCTGCCTTGGATCTTTGCTTCGTGCTGGGAGGTCTCCAGGGAGAGCTGCCCTTCCTCTTAAACATGTGAAAGGCCCGTGTTCTGCATTCCCTGCCCTCCCCAAGCGCGTGGCCCACAAGGCAGAGTGCAGCGCCCGACGGGGTAGCTCCCCGGTCCCCTCAGAGCAGCGGGCTGGAGCGCCTGCTAGCCCGTCAAAACGCCGCATCCTCTCGGGCTGGTGGCAGCGGCGCCCCTCCACCATAGCGGAGCCGAGGGCTGCTGCCGGCCAGGGCTCTGATGCCCTGGGAGAGGGCGCTGGAGCCGAACCCTGTGCTAAGGTTGCGTAACCCTCCCTGCCCGGGGGCCGCTTCCCAGGAGAGTGTGTCCTCAGGCACCGCCTCTTGCTGCTCCCTGCCTCCTTTACCGCAGCAGCAAGCGCTGCCCTTCCGCTCAGCATGGTGGCTTGTCCTGGTGGTGGCTGCTGTCGGGGAAGGGGCCGTGGGCCCCGGAAACCAGTGCCGATGTTCTTCGCCCTCCAGAAATCCCAGCACAGCGCTTCGCCCCCTGAGCGGGGTGAGGCTGCAGCACCTGCCACTAAATATATTTAGTAGAGCTGGTATGTGTACTTGTGTGTGGGAAAGTACCAGTGCCTAGCGGTGCCCTGTTCCAGCCCTGCAGCGCCGGGGGCCAGGCAAGCAGCCTCTGATCGTGCAGCTGCTTGGCTTGGGACTCGGCCCCCTTCTCCCAGGCCTAGCCTTGGCTCAGCCCTTTGCCCTGGCTTCTGGCTGTGGGGCACTCAGAGCAGGGCCCACCCAGGGCTCTCTGGCCCATGGCCTGCAAGGGCTATGTGCTGGGAGCGGAGCAGAGCAGAGCGCCCCGGGCTGTCCTGGATGTGCGCTGACTGAAGAGGAGCTGCGCACATTACACCGTACTGGCCATGGCTCAGATGGGCGCCGGGCTCCAGACCACTTTCTCGGCAGCGGCCAAGCTGAAACTCAGGCCCCTCTTGGCTCTGCAGCTGTGCGTGCCTGCGCCCATTGCTTCCCTGGCCTGCCGTGGAGCAGCACCTGACGCCCCCTCTTTGACGAGGGCAGGAGCCGGGCCATGCCCCGCTGACCATGGGGGGAACCTGTCTGTTCTCCCTCAGGCGGGGTGGAGGGAATCCCCTTCCTGGCCGCTACTGCACTGCCAGGGGAGGAAAAGCCTTTTGGGTACCAGGTGCTGCAGCGTATTGGGTTGGGGATGATGGGAGAAGGCTGGTTCCCCCACAGCTCTGCCCCGTCTCTCCTGCTCTCCCACTGCTGTGGGCAGCATGTGTAAAGCGAAAGGGCACCTCCCCCCGCCAACGTGGGAGGGTCCCAAGTCCCACCCTGGGGCTAAGCAGCCCCCTCTCAGAATACACGGGCAGGGCGGGGAAGCTCTGCTTGGTGCACCGGTGGCACAAACAGCAGCTTAGCGCAGCACATGGGCAGCAGGGCCTCGCACAAGAACGCTGCAGCTGCTTGGAGCCTGCAAGGACCCACAGGTGTCAAGGGGGGGGCATGGAGCACCCTGGATGCTTAGGTCAGGACTGTGCTGAGCCTACTAGGCAGAGGCCCCATCTCAGCTGCTGTGGCTCAGGCTATAGCTTCCCCTTGCACACACGCACAGGGCTGGGGCAGCTGGAGTTTGAAGTGCTGCTCTTGGGCCACTGCCCATCCCCCCGAGTCAGGCCAGGCCATTTAACCCAGCTGGCACTCCCCCCCAATCACAGTGTCTCCAAGGGGGAAGTAGCGCTGCCTTCACTTCCTCTGCCCCTCCAACAGCGTCCCTGTGAGCTGGGCACTTGTGCAGCTGCTCAGCAGAGGTTCAGACGCGCCCGCAGCTGGGCTTGTGTTTCTCCCAGTGGTGCATGTTGGCATGGCTGGAGACGAGTAGCGGGAACATTGCTGGGCAATGTGAGGGGCAGGTGAACCCTGCCTCAGTTGCGCTTTTGGGGGTCCTAAGCCCACGGCCCCAGCTCGAGACAAATCGGGCCAGACAGCACAGGGTGGGTTCATTAGCTTTTACTGTCCTGGGTAAGTCCCAGTGCTGCAGTCCTAGGGCTAACGCCAGCTATGCGAGCAGCGACGTGGTCAATATATTATCTCTGAGTGCAGCACACGGTACAGCACGGCGCAGGCTCAGTGCTGGGAGCCCCGGCTCGGGGCCAGCAGCGCCTCCAAGAACATGCAGCACGGTTTGCTCACCCTCCCTCCACCCCAAGCCACAGTCAGTCAATAAAACCCCCCACACATCCAAGGCCACTGCCTTCGCCTGGAGACTGGTGGGCAGCCCCCTCCTCTGCTACCGTGAGCAGAGCCCCGTGGCTTTCAGGGCAGAGGGAGGGAGTGGCCCAGAGCTATTCCAGCCTGAGCCCGTGGCCCTGAAAGCCAGGCTCAGAGCGTATGAGAGCCGCCCCTGCTCCGGCCTGCAAACGGACGCTCCCTGCAGAGGCACAAATCAAGAGGCCGGGACTCTGGCCACTCGTCCCCCTCCCGTAGCAGCACAGCAAGGCAGTGGATTTTGAAGCAGCAGCGGGGAATGCTACAGGCTCGGGCGCCAGCCATCAGGCCCAGGCACCTTCCTCTGGCCCTCCCGGCTCCGTCTGGCCCCACGGGGGCTCTGCAGAGGAGAAGGTCCGCGGGCGCCTGTGCTCCGCCGGGCGCGTGGACAAGGTGCCTGACATCTGGTAGCTGCGCGGCGTGGGGATCTTGGAGGGTTTCTTGTCCAGCTGCACATCCACACGTGGCCTCAGCTTGTAGCTGGAAAGCTCTTGCTCCGGTTTCTTCGGGGCCTCCTGCGGCTGGAGTCCCTGCGGCGCCTCGCCCCACCTCCCCGCTACAGAACCCTCCTGGGCCTCAGTCAGCTCCTCTGTGTCTGAGCCCGCCAGCTCCACGCTGGTCCAAGGCCCGGAGCCCACCGCCGGGGAGTTACTTTCATCTGAGGAACTCGAGAGAGCTGGCTTCCTCCGGCGCGAGGCCAGTTCCGGGGCCACGGAGTCCCAGACAGAGCCGTTCGGGAGCTCAGTGGGGGCCCATGGGCGCTGGGGCGCCAGGTTCCTCTTGGGCTCAAAGTCGGCCTGGAGGCCGTGCTTAGTGAAGAAGTTCAGGGAAGAGGAGGAGGAGCTGGAGGAACAGTAGGCAGAGTCAACAGCCCCTGCGTCTGGCGTGGTCTGCTGGGTGCAGCCCAGGGGCTCCTCCTCATCCCCGGCCAGCGCCAACAGCTGGGAGTTGGCCAGGAACTCCTCCTCCAGGTGCCGGTACAGCTGCTGCTCCTGGCTAGGGTCCAGGCGCAGGGGGGTCCGGAAGCTCTTCGCCAGCCCCTCCAGCTCCTGGGCCTGGGGGCTCTGCCCAAGGAGCCGCCCCCTCGCAGGGACCCCGGACTCAGACTCACCCGCCTGCCACTGTCTCTCAGGCCCCAGGGGCTGCTGCGGCACCCGGCCCGAGGGCTCGGCCACACTGCTGCTCGGAAGGGCTCGGCGAGCGGCAGGTGCTGGGCTGCTGGAGCCGCCCCGTGTCAGGCTTTTGTTCCTGGGGCTGGCTCGGCTGCTCTCCTTCAGCCCGGCGGTCCTGGCCCAGGAGTGCTGCCCGTCCTTCCCTCGGCTGATGAGCAGCACTGGCTCCTGGCTCTGCGCTCGGGGGCTGGGCTTGCCAGGCCCTTTGGCCAGGCGAGGCCGGCCCCGCTCCTCAGGGGCTGTCCTCCTCTGCCCCCGGAGGGCCCCGCGCTCCTGAGACTGGCTCCGGCTAGAAGGCTGCTTTGTGGGGGTCCCCTCGGACGCGCGCCTCCCCCCCGCCTTCCTGGGCACCCTTTGGAAGGCACCGTCCTCGCCATGCCTCCTGCCCAGGGGGCCGCTCTGGGCGGATGACGTGGAGGAGTCGCTGTCTCCAGAGAGGCGTCTGGCCCTGGGGGGCAGCTGGTCCCGAAGCCTGGAACAGAGGGGAGCACAAGGAGGAAAGGGCGTCAGCGCCATCTGCGGCTGGGCGGGGGAGAGAGAGGCACTGCTGGAGAGGGCACATGGCCGAACAGGAGGCTCGTGGCCCGGCGCTCGCAGCCAGACCGTTTTCCCTGAGGAGCCCACTGGAGGGCAGCCCGCTCTGCCACCGTGAATGTCTGCCAGAGCCTTTCCCCTCTGCTGCCCTGTCACAGCTCTGGTCCCTCTCCAGCTGGCCCCTGCCTCTGCGCAGCACTCTGTTCTCCGGAGCGAGGGGCCTGGGCGTACAGAACAGGAGGCTCGTGGCCCGGCGCTCGCAGCCAGACCGTTTTCCCTGAGGAGCCCACTGGAGGGCAGCCCGCTCTGCCACCGTGAATGTCTGCCAGAGCCTTTCCCCTCTGCTGCCCTGTCACAGCTCTGGTCCCTCTCCAGCTGGCCCCTGCCTCTGCGCAGCACTCTGTTCTCCGGAGCGAGGGGCCTGGGCGTACAGCGCGCGGGGCAGCCAGACCCTGCTGTGAATCCAGAATGCAGCCTGCTGCACCCAAGCCTTCCACTGCCCAGACGGGGGGGAAATGGGGCACATGTAGCTACACAGATCATTCAGCATAACAGCTCCACTTCCTGGGGCCAAGCCTCCACTGCTGAGCTTTCCTGATGTGCAAGTCCTCCGGCTTCACACTGCCCCCTGCCCCTCCTGGTTCAACTAGCAAACTGCAGGGGCCCCAGCACCCGCTGGCCTGGGCAGCTCAGGGCTTTTGTCACTGACAACCGAGAGCTGGGTCGCTGTGCTAGGTGCTGTACAGACATGAGGGAGGCCCTGTCCCAAAGAGCTTACCCTCGAACAGACAACTGCACAAAGGGAAACTGAGGCACAGAGCGGCACTGTGATTTGGCCAAGGTCATTCCACAGGTCAGCTGGAGAGCCAGGAATAGAACCCAGGCCCAGCCAGCCTGCTATTCATGGCACCCCACTGCTGCCCAGACAGACAAACACTAAGGCCAGCCACAGGAACCTCCCCCCCTCCGCATACTCCTGGAACAGGCTCCTGTGTCTGGCTGAGGCAGGGATGTCCTCAAAGCTTGAGAGAAAGACTTCAGGTTGCAGAGTCACCACTGCCGCAGCAGAAGCCTGCAAGTGACCCGTGCCCCATGCTGCCCATGCACTAGCCCCTGAATCCACAGGCGCAGACACTTGATTTGCTAGTGGTGCTTTTGAAGAGGGGGTGTTGTGGGGCTCTCTGCCAGCTTAGGGGAGGCTATTTTTACCACAGTTATGTACATCTTTCATACCCTAGTTACCAATGGCAGCCGCCTTCGGTATGTCGCTGTTTTAATAACGAACTACGGAATGAATCAGTGCATTAAAAACGTTGCCATCCCCTACAAGCTGTCTTCACTATCGTCCCGCTTTAAGACACGATCTCTCCCCGCAGAGGTCTGACGGGGAGACCATTGCAGTCGGTTTGCCACATGCACTACTTTGCATTTCACTCAGTCTCATCTGCCATTGTGTTGCCCAGTTTGTGAGATCCCAACACAGACCACAGAGCGACATAAACCTTGCTACCTCCCTCTGTGCAGACCATTTAGGAATATGTTGAGCAGCACTTGGCCCAGCCCAAGCCGCTGGGGACACTGCTATTAACTTCTCTCCCATTTCTTCCTACCTTTACAGGAATGCAGGGCAGCTTTCTGGATCATCTCCCCATCCTTAGTGCAGCAAGCCTTCTGTTCTCTTAACCCTCCCCCCCGAACGCCTGGCCCCACGGCACACCCATTCCACACTCCAGCTCTGGCTCCGGGGACCGAGCACCCACTGGTGTTTTCTAAGGGTGCCTGAGGCCCAGAGCATCCGTGGAGTTGGCGCCTAGGCCTTGCTTTGTAGCCCGAGGGAGGTTACCGCACAAGCCAGCCTGAGTCATTCACTCCAGCTATGCTCGAGCCACAGCGTGTAACATTCCGAAAGGCGCGGGAAGTATTTTTATCCCCCCATCAGAAATAGCCCTGCTCAGGCCTGCCAGAAACCTTCCCCTTTGAGCTGGAAAATACATTCAGCCCAGGAGGGATTCGGAGGTGGAGACAGTTACTAGCAACAGTAAAATGCAAAACATTTCCAGAAGGGCCCCCTCTGGCTGTAGCGAAGGGTGACACCCCTCCCCCAGGCTGCGGGTGGCTGCCTTAGCTCCCTGTACAGGCGTGCACAGCTGTGCGGCCTGGCTCACTAGCATGAGAGCAAGGCTGATCCCCAGCAAAGCCGATAAGTAAGCTAAGAATAGAGCTACAATGCCTGGGCGCGCCGCGCTGGGGGAGGGCTGCACCTGGCTCTGGGATACTTCCTGGGGATCTGGGGCTGGACGATGCCACAGGGAGACTTGGGCTCGGCCTAGAGACCTTGTTGCTGTTTGAGGAAGTGGTTGTCATGGTGGCCTGCAGCCATTCCCAGGGAGTGAGTCAGTGGCTGGCTGAGCCAAGCCCTGCCTGGGGGCGGGTAGGACGTCCTGGAGCTGGGTTTCCTCTGACACGTAGGCTTGTGACAGCCCACCAAGGCGGCGCTGGAGCCCGGCCCCTTAACCACCCCCCAAGTTACAGGCATGGCTGGGGAGTCCCACCCCTGTGGCTGCAAAACCTGCCTCAGGAAGAGTGCTGTTTCATGGCCCCTTGGCCAGGGGGACCCAGCCCCACCTTGGGAGCAAGGCCCTTGAGGAGCCCAGGCTAGGAAAGGGCAGACCCGGTTGCCCCAGAGCAGCAGGTGGGGGAGTGCAGGAGATTCTCTGTGCACAGAGATGGGGACGGCTGCCATAGCACGGGCACAACACTCCGTGGCCTTCAGGAGCTGTCCGGGCCCCCCTCCCAGGGGGCCATGGCCCTACTGCACGGGGATGCGGGGGAGGAAGCTCTCTGGCTCGCGAGCTGTGGTCTCCTAGCCGTGCCTGTGCTCTGGGGCACAGTTCCCACTGGGCACCCCGGCACATGGTACCTGAGAGCAGCTGCAGGTCGTGGCTCAGATGCGTCGCAGCGTGCCTGTGCCGTGGTTCTCCGCAAGGGACTGGGGGAGCTCTGGGCAGACGAGGGGCCTGCGCCAGCCTGTGGACGGAGCCCTTCCAGCTTCTCCTGTCTGGTGTGCGAGGTCACTTTGGGGCTCTGTCTGGAGGAGTCCAATGGGACAGACAGCTCTCCCACCCCCCTGGCCGCAAGGCTGGACCGCTCCATCTTGGCCTGGCCCAAGTCCCCACCAACTGCGAGGTGCTTGTCCCCTGTGCGGAGGGTCTCTGCTGGCTGGCAGGGGCTCATGATTTCCCAGCTCGTGGGCTGGAGGAGAAGCTGCCGGGAGATGCCGCCTTCTGTGGGGAGAAGCCCAGGGCACGTGCCTGCGTTAGCCGATGCGCTGTGGAGGGAACAGAGCCATCAGCACGAGTGTCTCACGGACCAGGCCAGGATCAATGGGCCCCCCGTTCCCCATGACAGCTGCAAATACACCCGCTGGATCCCACCGCTCTGCTGTGCCTGCAGCAGGGCTGGGCAAGGGACAAGAGATGGGCCCTGGTCCCCCAGGATAGTGGGAGGTGAAAGAGAACTCGGCTTGGGAAGGGGGGAGGAGTGAGACCAGAGGGGGTCTCAAGAAGCCACAAAGCTGCAAGGGCCTCTCCTCTTGGGCCAGCATGGTCAGCCCAGCTTGCCTCCATGGCTCAGGAGCAAGGAGCCAAAGGGACCGGGGGGAGGGGCAGTAGTGTCCAAGAACCGTCCCCCTGGAGAGGGGTGAGAACGAGCCACATGCACAGGGCATGGGGGGCAATGGCATTTCTCTAGCCCCAGCCCCTCAGGAACTTGTGGAGGGACGAGTCCTCTCCCCTCACCACACTCACAGAGAGAGGCGCACCGGCAGGGATCGTGCTTGTCCAGGTAGTGCTCCAGGGTATCCCAGCCGCCACCAACTCGCACCATCACGTGGCTCCTCAGCACCTGGCAGGCCCCAGAGAGACACTGCCCGTCAGGCTCACTGTGGCCCAGACAGCCTGTCCCTGAGCAGCATGGCTCTCTCGCCACGGAGCAGGCCTGCCCTGGTGCTAATTCCCTGCTCACAGTCAGTATCAGAATGGCTGAAAACAGACATCTTTGTCGTACTGATAACTGACATGATAACAATAGCACCCATGAAACACTGGACTCACAGACTATTTAGTGGGACTTCTGCTGCTGCTAGAGGCGCAGGAGTCAGTGCTGGGTGCTTGAGGGGCTCAGGACAGGGCGCTGGGGTGTGGGACGTGCAGAGGGCAGTGCTGGGGGCGGGAAGTAGAGTATGTGGGGGGGCCTGGGGCCAGATTTCCTTACCTGGCCACAACTGGCCTACTGTACCTGGGCAGCAGTGGCTGGACATGGGACTAGGCCAGGATCGCTGCAGCCTCCCCTCCTACCTGTGCCGCAGCTGGGGGCGGGGGAGCCACCAGCCCTTGCTGCACCCAGATGGGGGCCAGACTACAGGGCCTGCCCCAGGATCAGGTCGGATTAGTGTTAGGGTCACTTTGCTAGTGCACAGCTAAGGAGAACAGTTTCGTTTAACCAGTAAGAAAGGAAATATTAATCAAAAAATGATTAAACAGACTAAGCACTTGAACTTTCTCACGTTTGTTTACCAAACGTCATTCTAAATAAAAAAACAAAATAAAATAAGTTCAACAAAAAAAGTTTCAACATTGTCTTTGTTTATGGCAGAGGTGGGGAACTTTTTTGCCAGGGGCTACTGTAAACTGGGTGCATAACCGGCTGGATAACCGT